ATGTTTACAAACCTCAAATTTCCTACAATCTTTTATCAAGTTTTATCCATGTTGACAAATTATCATTTATGAATTTTGTAAGCAAACTATGTTTAGAAACCTCATATTTCTTGGAATTTTTATCAAGAATTATCCATATTGACAAATTATCATCTATGAATTTTATCACCAAAGAAAAATGTTTACAAACGTCAAATTTCCTACAATCTTTTATCAAGTTTTATCCATGTTGACAAATTATCATTTATGAATTTTGTAAGCAAACTATGTTTAGAAACCTTATATTTCTTGGAATTTTTATCAAGAATTATCCATATTGACAAATTATCATCTATGAATTTTATCACCAAAGAAACAATGTTTACAAACGTCAAATTTCCTACAATCTTTTATCAAGTTTTATCCATGATGACAAATTATCATTTATGAATTTTGTAAGCAAACTATGTTTAGAAACCTCATATTTCTTGGAATTTTTATCAAGAATTATCCATATTGACAAATTATCATCTATGAATTTTATCACCAAAGAAAAATGTTTACAAACGTCAAATTTCCTACAATCTTTTATCAAGTTTTATCCATGTTGACAAATTATCATTTATGAATTTTGTCAGCAAACAATGTTTATAAATCTCATATTTCTTGGAATTTTTATCAAGAATTATCCATGTTGACAAATTATCATCTATGAATTTTATCACCAAAGAAACAATGTTTATAAACCTCATCTTTCTTGAAATTTTTAATCAAAATTTATCCATAATGTCAAATTATCATCTATGAATTTTATGAGTAAAAAACAATCTTCAAAAGCCATATCTTTCCCGCAAATATTTGTCAAGAGATGTCCATACTGTCAGATATATTTTACTAATTTTATCAGTAAGGGAAAAAACTTAAAATCTTCGTCTTTCTGTTTTATCAAAGGGGTATCATCGATTAAATTCTTTTCTATGAATTTTATCAGCGTAGAATCAACGTTCAGAAGCCTCTTTTCTTCAAATTTTTTATGAAGGAAAATCCGTATTAACAAATTGTCTTTTATAAATTCTATCAGCAAAAAAAAAAAAAAGAAAAAAAGCCGTATATTTGCTGCAGATATTTATCCAGTAGTATCCTTGTTGGCAATTTATTTTCTATTAATTTTATCAGCAAAGAAACAATTTTAAAAGCTTCATTTTCCCAGTAAATTGTTATCAAATGTTATTCGAAGTGTTAAATTATTTTCTATGTATTGTACAAAGAAACATTTTAAAATGTTTAATCTTTCTATGAAAATATTTATCACAAGGTATATAAAATTTAGAAAAAGATTTCAGTGAATTAAAAATACTTTTTAAAAGCTTCGTCTTTCCTACAAATATTTACTTAGAGGTGGTTATGTTGATAAACTATTTTCTATGAATTTTATCAGCAAAGAAACTATTTATTTTTTTAAAAAAAGCTTCTTCCTTTCCTGTGTATTATTATGTGGAAGGACTACAGATGATGAACATTTTTCTCCTTCCTTGACAACTTTAAGTCTGGTCTGTTCAATTTTGTTTAGTTTGAATTGTTTGAATCACTCAATCAACCAGTTGGTTCGTTGATCCGTGCGTCAGCTCTAACCTTTACTTTACCAGACTTTATTGACAAGCTGAATATTTAGAACGCCGACTCAGCTGACATGCGTGCTGAAACAAACTTCTGCTCAAATAAGCCTATTCAGGAAAGACTCACAACAGAATATGCTCTCATTCCCTCGAGATATTTTGAAGAAAAACTATTTTTATGTCGATTGTAACAACAGATTTGAACGTTTATTCTTGACAAGTTTTAACCTGACTTCAGGCTTAAACTCGCGTCAATAATATAGCTTTGGGGTACTGGAAAATCCTACATTAATTGAGATGTGTGTCAAATATTTGGCAAGTTTATCTTGGCGCCAGGTTGCAAATGTGAGAGCCGCTCAGTGAAGACACTGAGAATAAACCAGAAATAACTAATTACTCACACCTTTACAACAAGGGTGTGCAACAAAAAAGAACTATGAATTAAAACTCAAAACAAAATAAAATAAAAAAATATTTACCGTCTCCTTTGAGGACGTTGAAACTCATGGGTCTTCACATTTTTAAATCTTTTCTAAGCCTTAATAATTTTTTTTCATTTTTTGTTATCTCTCCTAAATCTTGCTTCGCCATCCATTTATTCCAGATCGCTAGGTAGGTCATGCACTGTCTTCTCCTGCCCCTCTTGCCTTCTATCTGTCACGTGAGTATCAGATTTTACAAGCTCTCTTTCCTCTTTACGTGCGATAGAATGATCAACTGTCTCTTTATGATGTTAAATATAAGTGTCTTTTTGGTTTCCATTTTCTCTAAGACTTCGTCGTTACTCAGATATTCGGTCCATGGTATTCTCAGCATTCTTCTGTAGAACAAAATTTCTGTTGCTTCAAATTTCTTCTTCATCTATGAGGAAATTGTCCAGTATTCCATGCCGTATATTCACTTATAACACGTAACAGTTCAGTACGCTTTTCTTTGCTTCTAACGAATTTTCCCGTTTCTTAATACTTTTTTTGAATTTTGGAAGGCATCTTTCTCTATACCAACACACCTTCGGATTACATTGTTGCATTGTCCGAACTTTGTTAAAATAATTCCCAGATATTTAAATTGTTGTATTTGCCTGATTTTGGTACCCCCAATACATAATTTGCATGTTGGACAGTCCCTTTTGCTAACAACCATGCATTCTGTCGTCCTGCAATTGGTATTTAGCCATTCCTTCTCGCTTTCCTTTGATACCTTCTGTGGGAGTTCTTGTACTTTCCTTTCTGGGTGTGCTTTCAACGCAATTTTATTTGTATATCATGTTACTAAGATTGTGGTCGCCAATAATGAATTCTAGTTGGATTTCTAATCCTCTCACAATCGCCTCACTGTATAGGTTGAATAAGTCCGGTGAGACGGAACTTCATTGTCTTACATGACTTTCTATTTAATGTTTAGTCCTTTCTTCTCGCTTTCCTTCACTAACTTTCTGTGTCTCCTATCAACATTGCATATCTTGTGTTGTTAAGTCTGTGGTCACCAATAATTAATCCTGATATGGAATCTAATTCTCTTAGAATCGGCTCAGCGTATAGATTGAATAAATTCGTTGAGAAGACATATGTTTGTCTTACACTTCTTTTTATTTCAGTATATTTAATGAATTCATTTTCTATTCGTATGCAAGCGATTAGCTGACAGGATATGTTGTGGATTATTCTAATATCTTTCGTAATATGTCAAGGTTATCTGTTCCAACAGATTTACATTCGAGCTATTATCCTGATCTATTTGTTTCGACCGTTGTGATCCCCGGCCTTCCTCTGGTGCTGGTCAATAATCAGCAAATTTATTTTGGTGGATTTCGAACTGAATCCTTTATTTAATCTACTGGGGAAAATTGTTCTCAATTAGATGACGTGTCTAGGGATATGTTTTCTTTTTCCAATTTAATACTGCTCACTTATTCTCAACCTCGCTTCATAGAGTCTAGTTAATAGCCTAATGGATTAAAGAGATTTTTTCTGCAAATTTTGTATTTTTTATGTTCAATCCCCGTGTCACGAAATACAAACTCAACAGTTCGATTATAAATAATGATACTTACTCATCTGATAAATTCAGACAGAAATTACTGTCAGTTTTAATTTAAAAAAAAGAAGTATATACACCTTTGTGAAAATTAATTGAAACAAAATTAATAATAATTCCGTTATTTACTTTTTTTCGTATTTTTTCAATGAAACATGATCCTTTGCACATGTTAATACTTCGTATATACATCCCACAAAGTCGTTCCTTGCAGATTGACCACAGATTCTCGATTGGATTTAAATCAGGAGAGTTTCCAGGCCAGTCTGTAGTAGTTTTATTTGCTTACTGGTAAGGCTTGCTAGTGTGTTCGTGCAACGTTACAATTTTGGTATGCTTCCTTAGAGTAACGTCCATCGCTGACAATGGCCGTAGTATCTAGGCGTGATGAAAATCTGATGCAATCATAGATGACGCAATATTTATCAAGGCCAAACAAATTTCATCATACACTTTAAAAATAGATTCATTTTACTTCACACTACTGCAAATGACCTAATCTGATTAGAAATAGAAATCGATTACACTCTGATACTCTAGTGGGTAGAAAACTGACCGTATCGTGAAAGAAAGGAAAATAAAACGGTTGTTTCAGTTGATTTGCACAAGGGTGTATATTTATTTCAGATTATATGGAAAACTATTTGCTTATGTTATAATAAACTGTGTTTGAATATTGAAATTCTCCAAACTTCGTGAGTAGAAAAAATCTGTTTAATTCTCTGCTTCAAAAGAGTTACACATTGCGTGATATTTAGAGAGTCTTAGATTCGCATGCTGTGTGCCTTTAACAATATCATACCCAATTTTTTTCCGTTTTTTAAAGTTTTCGTGTAGAAGTGAAAGTAAACTTAACTTGTTCTGTCTCACACGCGTTATTCTTCATATTTGATAAGTGATTTGGTTCGAATGATAAGTGATTTGGTTCGAATGATAAGTAAAAGTGATGATAATGTGTGGGTTTTACGCCTAGCGTCAGTCATAAATTAAAATTCTGTTGTTCAGTGTCGTTTTCTATAAATGTAACTTTAGACTTTTCCATGTGGTAAAATTTAAACATTGAATAAATTACATCTTATGATACTTTTCTCGAGAAATTTTGATTGATTCGCTTTTTTACGATTTATCAACCCTTTCAAGGTTATTTAAAGACAGGATATCTTTTTCTTGTAAGAATGTTTTCTGTTAGATAATAATGATTCAGCGATAAAAATCTTACTAATTAATCCATAACTGGGGTAGAGAATTCGATTCCTACTTTTCCCAAGAGTATTTGCACGTGAGTGAATATGACGAACCTAATTAAAAACTCATCTATCAGATTAACAATTCTGAGCCATTATCTATTACACCACCCGCACATCCAAGCTTACAGCACCTGTTCTTCCCAAGCGGTCACTCATCTAGGTACTGATCAGGCTCAACGTTGTTTAACTTCAGGGATCTTACAAGGACTGTTGCTCCAACGCCAAAGGTATTGATATTATTCATCCCATTATTCATAATCGTTTGCACCTCTTTGTTTTATTAGCTCGCCATTCAATATCCACTATTCTCAGCATCAATGGCTAACGCATCCTTATCCCTGTTTTTTATTTTATCACATCAATTCGTCTGATGGATTCTTTGCTCTTTTCAGGTGTACACCGGTTAGGGATGTGCGGTTAGCGTTACGTTTTTCTGGAATTGTTCACGCTATTTACATTATTCGGACTATTGTTCTCATCTTTGTCGCCATATTTATTACAAAGTTTCGGCCGTTGTAGGCTCCGGCCTTCTTCAGGTGGTTGGAATGTCGAACTGAACCCTTTATTACGCTCACTGGGGTAGACTGTTCTAGTTCCACGTGCCATGTTTAATGGATGTCAGTTATCAGTTATCTCCTGTTAATTCCCCTATCCAAGTTCTCCACTGCCTTAACCAGGTATTGAACTCACACTCTTTGCATGCTGTCACTGGATCTAACTAACGCCTTTATCCACTGTACTATGTGTCCTTTGGATATCATATCAATTAACATAATAAATGTTTGATAATCATAAGTGCCCACATCCTAAAGGGTCATGGCTTAAATACAAACAAACAAACAAACGAAATATCCTCATTGGTAATGATATATATATATATATATATATATATATATATATATATATATATATATATATATATATATATATATTCATACACGTTTCATTAAATAATATAGACAAGTCTATTTATTTTATGTAAACTCTTTTCATAATGTCTAATAAGTTTAATAACATTATAATTGTACAAAAAAAGAAATTCACAATATTGATCCATTTTTTTTTAATATAATCTAAGCTTTCGGCTTGCATAAGCCATTATCAAAGATGTCAATGACAACATATTAAGCAATATATGGAAAAGACAGTGATGACAGTCTGTGAATGTTTACATAGATGATCTCTAAGCAACGATAAACACGGTCATATAAAGACGTCACACACACACACACACACACACACACACACACACACACACACACACACACATATATATATATATATATCATGATTTTAAAAACTATTTTGAAATTTAAAAATAAAGTTCCTGTGGTACCCTTAAAGCTAATCGATCACAACGCGCTCTTCCGAAAAACTCTCGTTGCTATGGAAACATTAAAGATGGGAATTCAGGCAACTCTTGAAACAATAGTTAGTTTAGTATTAATATTGTATGTGAGTTGCTTACATGAAGCTGACACGACATCTAAGCAGATCCTATTTAGTTTGGGCTTAGCAAGTGTGACCAGGACTACAGTTGTGAATTCAGTTCTCACTACGTGCCTCGGGTTCGTGACCTTTGGTCAGGTGCAGCTGCCATTGCCAAATAATTTAGTAGCTTGGGATGTTTAAGTATTTTCTGCTCCTAACAGCAATCAATGTTCAAACTAAAATCATGTCACTGAACATGTTACATAACACTTTAGTGTCATAGCGGCATAATCCTTACAGCTAGCGTTACAGCTAAGGTATGACTAGAGTTAGCCTGACGGGGCTCTTTCTTCCTCTTCTAGACTGCTTGTCACTAAAAGCAAGGGAACCAAGTCAATCCTGCTATTTAACTCTGACGGAAGTGAGATTCGTGCCTTTTTTTTCTTAAAGAGAATTATAACGAAGGGAATAAAAAAATCAACCAGGATTTGAACCCGTCACGCCGATTTCAATTTCTGCATTGATAACCATTGCAATCTCTGCTAATCAACAGGTAAAATAAAACAGATATGCAAGTCAGACAACAATGTCCTCATTGGTAATGAACAATGCAAAACCTTTCTAGCTTTGTAAACATTCTGTTTGGCTTAGTGTAGTGTTAAAGAAATATTTGTAATAATATATAAATATAAAAATCGATCTCAATTTAGGCTGGGTTGTTTTGTTTCACAATTGTAAATCATAAATTCAATGAATAATCGTGCTGAAACAAATATCAGTGTTCCTTATAAGTTAGAAAATAAAAGTTTTAAAAACATTGCAGGCAAGTTTGATTTAATTGGTCGCTGTGTGAAGGACTGAATTAAGTGTTTAAAACAATATAAATGTCGATGGTAAGGGACATTTCTTAGAGTATATATATATATATATATATATATATATATATATATATATATATATATATATATATATATATATATAAACATATTTGTCTTTGTGCTGATTATTTGGGAATGCAATGAGTTCTAGAGCGGCGTTAAATCATGGAAGAATTCATTTTAGAGCATCCAAAAAGCCGATTTATAAAAATGCGAGAAGTCACGTTTCAACCAGGAAATCAGTGTAGCGAGAAGACAATAGAGTACCAATCAGTTGGCGTGAAGATGCAGTGGAATGATCGATTCAACCAAGAAACCAACAGACCCAGACATAGTTTCCTTGTTTCTTGTTCTTACAGATATGCATATATATATATATATATATATATATATATATATATATATATATATATATATATATATATATATACAAGTAAATAAATAGACAAACCAATCCTAAATTAAAACTCTTCCCGCCAAAATAATAGTTAGAATGAACTACAACAACCAACCCCAAAATTGAAGAAATAGCTTTAATTAAATTCTCAAACCAAAACAAAACTGTTAAATAAGTGATATAAACAAATTTTTACTACGTTAATAAATAAATAAATAAAATAAGAAACAAAAATAAAAACGAGCAATATAACTTGACCCCAATAAATAAACAAACGACTTCCGGTAAAATAACCGCCATAATAGAATACCCAAAATGAACCACTAACCCGTATATATATAAATAGCCGAGAAAAATAACAGCATATGTGGCCTGACGATTGCATATAGCATGAAACAGACTGTCGCCTCTAAGTGTTGACTTCTATATTCACTTTTATATTTACACACGCTCTATCTCTGATATTCCATAAATATAGCATATCTTAAGACTATATTTTTTTATATATACATACATATATATATATATATATATATATATATATATATATATCCCTTTATGCAAACACATATACCATCATTTACAAATACATCTTTTCTCAGCTGATTCACAGATTTTATATCTATTTCCAAAAAAAAAGGAGGGTTATCCATTCGGTTACATTTGGAGTTTATTTAAAGAACCGAATTATAATAATAATAAATATATTTATTTTTTATTATTTATTAGGGCGAACTAGCTCGGATATTAGTGTATCTATTACGCCAACCATCACAGCCGCCCAGCCTCAATGTCGGAAGGTCATTAGGGTGGCACTCTGTTTCATAAAATACCAGGACAATGTAGGTGGTTTCTGGGCGACCACCTCATTTTGCTCCATGCCTGGGTGTCCAGAGCAATAGATTACTCGCAAGTTCTTGATTCGTTCACCAGCATTATACTGCAAACCGCATTCTACGTTCACGTAAGATTGTAGAAATATCAATGATGGGTTCGTTGGATGTTGTCTTCAAGCGATGTTACATATACCTCTCAGCAACTGACTCTAGGTTCCATCAAGCTTAGACTCTAGGTGTTTAGTTAATGCCCAAGCAGTGGTACCATGCATTAAAACCTCCTCTACAATGGCTCGTAGGAATCTCCGTTTGAGGTTGTCTGGTACCTCAGACTTCCAGTTTTATAATTCTTAAGAATTAGTTAAATGCTATTTACCTTTAGAACGAAGTCAATCCTAGCTCTGTACAGATAACTCTTTTTTATTATATATTGTATAATATAACATACCAACACTTCAAACATACTGAGATAAATACGTATTTATGTTAATATAAATATATTAGCATTGATGATGGAGAGGGTTAGGGCTAGACGATGGAGAGATTAGGGTTAGACAATGGAGAGAGGTAGGGTTAGATAATGGAGAGGGTTAGGGTTAGACAATGGAGAGAGGTAGGGTTGGACAATGGAGAGGGTTAGGGTTAGACAATGGAGAGAGGTAGGGTTAGACAATGGAGAGAGGTAGGGTTGGACAATGGAGAGGCTGCTTTATATTTTGAGTTATAATCTTTGGAGAAATTAGCATTTCAGAACATTGTACACGTGTCTGAGATGTATGTTCCTCTTTCCAAAGTGTAAATTTTTGTGTGAATTATCAGGCCATCCCATAAGTTCTGTCCGATTTTGAATAAAGAAAACAAGTGACATTTACATTTAATTAGAGATTCAATCAACAATGTATTTTCCCTGATTATCTATGACCTCCTTCCATCTATTAACAAGCTTACTTATTCCCCTACTGTAAAATTCTTTTGGCTTTCATTCGAAGAACTCACAAATTTCAGTTTTAACCACTTCCTGTGTTACCAAAGCTGTTTCTTCCAAATGATTCTGTAAGCTACGAAACAAATGGTTAGTCTGAAGGAGCAAGATCGAGAGAATAAGGTGGATGAGGAATTTTCTCCCAACCAAGTTCTTCGATCTTTTGTGACGTGATTCTTGCTGTGTATGGTCGCGCATTGTCCTGATGAAACATCACTCCTTTTCGATTCACTAGAGCAGGTCTTTTTTCCCTAAAAGCTTGGTTCAAATGCTCTAATTGCTAACAGTATTTTTGAGCATTAATTGTTGCTTTAGGTGGTAAGAATTCAAAGTGGATTATTCCTTTGCGATCCCACCAGATTGAAAGAAGAACATTTTGCCCATGAAGTTCCCTTCTCGGCTGTGGCTGGGGTCCTTCCCCTTTACCAAGCCACTGTCTACAACGCTTAACATTTCGATAAAAGATCCATTTTTCGTTGCCAGCCACAAGTCTATCCAAAAAAGGTGAAACAAATTGGCGAGAATGGAGAGAAGAGCAGATGTCAACTCGGGATTTGAGGTTATTTTTCAGTCAATTCATGAGGCACCGATTTTCCAACGATTTAGGAACTTTTTCAAGTTGTTGAAGATGACGATGGTTTGAACTGAGAACCACTGCCAATTCCTCAACTGATAAAGCAGGATTTTCTTCAAGGGCT